TATTATCTCCTCGTTTGTGGTCAGTTGAGCATTGATTACTACTTTTTCGTACTCTGTTGATACCTGTTGAGCAAAGCTGGAAGAAGCAGCGGCCAGATCAGGACCTGGTCTTCAGATATAAGGAAACTAGCTTCAGCATCGGCTTCGGTGGCTGACAGATATGGCTGAGAGTAAAGTCACTAGCACGGATGCTCAACCATTTGTCCAATCAAAGGCGGTGATCCATGAGTGTGAAAAAGAACGGGCAAAACGTGTTCAGTGAAACCAACGCAAAACGTTTTTGTTCTCTTTAGTCGGTATATTTCCATCTTCATTTTCATCGCCTTTACCCCAATCGCCCTTTCCTTTTTCATTATTGTCGCTATCGCGCAATGCGCAGTACCATCTTGCTCTGTCCCTTTATCGTCCAATAATTCGCTGTCACACTGAAAGTCGGTTGATTTATCCGTGCCCATGNATGGGATATCGAGATGACTTTTATCAGTAAAATACCTAGTTTACGCCCTTCCTCATTTCGTTTTTCAACTGATTTTCATTACTGCTGCTGTACCTGTATAACAAGTGCTCCATTCTACACAATACAAAACAACCTCAGCAACAAGAAAAGTCGTTTAAACTCCATGGGATTCATTTGATCTTAGAGTTTGCGACGGATGTTCTAATCGTTCATCATGAAATTGTTAACACAACTTTGAGTGTACAGGTATTGACCAAACTCGTGCAACATCCTGATTTTCATCACATTTGTTCCTCTCGATGCATCTTTTTTCCAGCCTCATTCACGGGATTGAATGTAATATTGCCCCACATCGGAAGTAACATATCTGATATTATACCCACTTATGTCATTGATTCTATTAACCACATGTCATTTAAATGTACAATTTCGCGATTTTGACGACGGTTGCTGGTGCATCAGTTGTCAGATAACAAAGTCACAGTAGAAAACGTAACTGAAATTTATTTATTAAAATGACTCATAGACTCCATACGGATATTGTACTTTCATCTCGTCCATGGTTCATGTGCTCTTCATTCTTGAGCACTAGGGGCAGTCACTTTAGCATGGAGTCCACCAAGTTGACTGCCAAATAGAATTTGCAAGTTTCCTCTGATACACCGCACACCTTTACCACTGGCGACCAATGGTAAGGTAGCTAACTTATCCCTGTTTCTGATAGAGGGAAAGGTTTTCGATTAAATTAAAATCCCAGCTGCTGCGCGGTAATTGAACGATTTTGACATTGAACTTGACCTCTAGAAGCTGCATAGATGTGAAAAATAATATTTATTTATGTCTAACCGTTGTCTACCACAAATCTCAAGCGAGAAGATATACCAACCTTCATATGTAAACATATGACTTTCGTGAATGCATTTTGGGAGTGTCAGTTATCAGAAAGCTCCCTTATTAGTGCAAGAAATTTTGCTATGTCCCTAATTGTGTATGCAGGAGACCAACAACAATGCGTTCAATATTCACTTCTCTTCCAACTCGTTAGACGGGATAGATATTTATTTCTTTTGATAGGTAAAACGAAATTCATTAGAAAACTAGCTCCGTAGATCAGCTTTCACCGCATGCTGAATTACTCGTTGGCCATCAGTGAAATAAATCAACTTCCAAATGGACGGGCGACGCGATTTGAATTTGTTAGTAAGATCAATACATACTCTGCTTTGTTGGGCGTTCCATAACGACTTCATATCACGTGGCCTCAGCTACATTTTCCAACCGAAAGCATGAGAAAGAAACGGATAATCAGTTTGGACTATCCTCCAGATTGGTTTTGTGCAACTCTTCTCTGTTGCGATCAAATACAACCTTAGTCTTACTTTGATATTGCCGGTTTTCTGTCTTTCAGTTTATGTCTTGATGGAGAAATTTGGTAGAATATGCAACAAATTCGACTTATGTTCAAATCGAAGCACTTCCACAAGACACCAACTGAGTCTTCGGATTTATGTGCCTCTCGGCTAAGTTGCCTCTCGGCTTCAATTAAATGCCAAAACCTTTTGAAATTTTCACCCGGTTTGGGCATGTTGACACTACAGAACGCTTATTCAACGAGCCCCACACCTCAAGATCAACGTTCGAAAATCAATTTGTGTCCTTCCTGTACTATATTTTCAGTTCTTTCAGTATTGTGGATAATGCGTGAGTAGTTTGTGGTCAAATAATTTATCAATTTACTTAAGCTAGAATGTTTTCAATAATTTGCTTATTTACTCATGGGACAGGAATCATTTATTAAGAAGAATGTGCTCCCATGCTGCTTTACCTAAAATATTTTCCAAATCAGAGCTGTAACTTTCGAACTACTACAAATTTTATCGCGACACGCAAGGTCGCGCAAATTCAAACGGTGATAGAAAAGAACTAGGAACGTAGATGTCAGATGAAGTCAGGAATAAATACACTCTACTCATAGCCATCTATATATAAGTATGATACTGTCAGCCGAAATGGATTTCCCAAATGAGGGTAATGTTGCACGAGTTTGGTCGACACCTGTTTATTGTTGTTCTCCAAATTTTCATCACTCTTCTTTCCTCTGTCTTTACGCAATTGAATCCACTCTCACTTTGGACAGAAGTACATTTTTATTGGTTTAACGTCAGTCCTTAGGAGGCTAACTCGGAAGAATATGTAGTTATAGAATCGTATAGCAAAGCGGTTTCTAACCCATTCTTAGAGCATCTTTGTAACTCGGTTCTTTCGTTTTTCTCGGGTTATCTGTACATCACTGTTGATGCCGTTACTCGCACTCTACTTTTTTCAGACCAATTCCCGGGGTTTCAATGATTTTTGTGTACAGAAGATTCGTCAGGCATCGTTTGGTCGTCGCGAGATCGAAATTGCCGAGCAAGGTGAGAGTATCCAAACGCAATGGATTCTAGATTTTTTAAAAAGTTCTGTTGCTATTGGTTCAATATTTTTATGACGTTCTACCTTCATTTAAAATCTGTTTCATATGGTGCTTGTCTTTGCATTTCGATGGATGTTTTAACGATGAACTTCTGCTTGCTTACTGCTTACTGACCACAAAGGACCCGTTTTCAAACAATTCCCATCACGTTTTGTTTACCTTATTTCAGTCTGATCACCTGACGATGTATGTAGTGCCCTCATGGGAGGGTACTATAAGGTTTCTGGAGTATTTGTTGCATCCATATCAACTTGATTCTCGATTCTACATATATCTATATAGTGATTCGGAAGTATTATTCACATTGAGGTCTTTTTGAATGCATTCTGATTCACAAAGGACCGTTACGTCCGTCGATTTTTGAAAGATGTTCTTCACACACACACACACACACACACACACACACACACACTATATATATATATATATATAGTGTGTCAATAAATCCGGACGTACGGTGTTTCACGCATCGCTCCCACAAAAAATCCTAATCTCCGAGGGAATGATTTGTGATCAAGCGGGTTGAGCCGTTGTTACTGATGTGGTTTGGGCCCTGGTGGGCGAGGTTGAAATTCTAGCGTCACAGCTAATTTTGGTGAAAGAGAACTTAGCTTTTGCCACTACGCGTCCCTAACCCTAGTTTGCCAGTTATCGCGAGTGTACTGTATGTCTTTGTCTACTGTTTATTGCATGATAGTGCCTAACTAAAGTTTAAAAATGGTTAGACTAATGATTTTAACTTACTTCTCTTGTAGGCATTTGATCAGATGTACCAGATCTATTTCGGAAAATCCTATGTCGAGATGTAACAGATAAGGGAAGGTGTCCAATATTCCAACAAATGCTTACTCATAAGTGTTCGCATCTTGTGCTGATGATGCATTCACCGGATTTTTTCGTGCATGCTTATCTTGCCACCTTTGTACCCTATCACGGACATTTTATCTTAACCTGTTTCTCGAGGTTTTGCCCCATTTGATGTTGAAAAATGTTTCATTTGATATCATTAGCTCTCAGTCAAATGTTTTTTCTCCTCGTTCGTCTGCTCTGTCTAAAACATAACATTGTTTCTATCCCATTTTGTTGATCAGAGATGCCGGGTTTAGTCGCGTTGAGAAAACGTGCCAATGACGATCAACCATTACGAGGTGCCAAAGTTTTGGGTTGCACCCACGTCACTGCACACACGGCTGTAAGTTAGTCTGTAATGACAATATTTTTAACATATCATCTGACTCTTGACCGGACCCCATCAGCTTATTTTAAAGGTTGTAGAAAGTGTGAATTTTTGTTATTCATGGGTGTTGTAACCTCATGCGCCACCTATACCCGAAATGTTGCTTGAGTATTGCAGACAATCTCTGAAAACCCACGTTTCTTTCCACCGATGTCATTGAATAATTCGCTATTTGTAATTTTTTTTATTCTGGTTTTCCCCAAAGCATATCAGAAAAATGGTTTCTCTTGTAATAAATAATTATTTTAGATCAGATTCGTTAGTTGATTTTGCTTATGAATCTATAGTCCGTACTCATTTTTTCGCCTAAGGCTGTTTCTTCCCTAATCTATCGTATTGGAGATGTGCGTTGATTTTAAGTCAATATTGATCACACTTCGTTGTCATTCGTTTTTCTCACAGCTTCACACGCTTCCTCTTCTCTGCGCACTTGCTGTGCGCGTTAGTTTTGGACGAAATCGGTTCAGTTCAGTTCTTACAACGATTAACCATGCACATTCGTGCCCCGGTTTTGGTTGCTGTCTTTTGGTTTCCCATTTGGATAAAACAGCAGAATGATGTTTAGAATGTTAAGAGCAGATTCGAGCAGAAGATAGCGCATTTACATGAACTGAAGTTACAAAACTAATGAATAGATGCATGAGCACCACTGTTTGCGACACCCAGCCATATCGCTCAGTGTCTCTAACCATCGGTGATCGTGATCTCGGGGTCCCTAGCCAGGGAGCCTAACGGGACCTATGTAAGCCAATCTCCTGGTCAGGATTTTCATACCCTCATGGCAGGTCTTTGTTTGACCACCCTTGATTTTTTCCCAACCACTACCACACACAGTTCTCCAGTCGTGGTATGAACACAGAACCAAGGGGCCCAAAGAGCTACGCTTGAGACCGATGCTGAATTCAGGACCGAAAAATTGTCCACCTGTCGAAACAGTCAGTCACATTGCGCGTGAAACACTGCAAACGTCATGCTCCACTCCTACCCCATCTGACCAAACTCAACAAAAACGTACGGCAAAAAGCGTCTGCCGGCCGACAACGAGGTCGGCCAAATTACGTCCCTAAACTCCAATGGATTTCTGCACCGACAACGACTGAGCTGTTTCTATACCAACGCCCAGGGTTTTTTCAGTAAGTTTCCGGAAATGGAACTACGTTGTCGGACCGGTCGATGGGATCTCATTGCCGTAACTGAGACCTGGTTGACAACCGACATGTTAGACTTCGAGCTGCGATTACCGAACATGGAGCTATTGCGGCGTGATCGTCCAACGCGAGATGGGGGTGTGCTGCTCTATCATCATAAGAGCTTGCAATGCGAGCAAATTGAGTGCTCTTTTGCTGCCTCAGACACATTATGGTGTGAATTGAAGCTAACGCAACAGGATATCGGGCTGATCGGTGTGGTTTATCGCTCTCCTTCGTTATCAGATTCATCAAATGAGACTTTGTTGGAAACAATGTCTTACTTCTTGTCATTCACCCACGTTCTGATAATGAGTGACTTCAACTGTCCAAAGCTGAGCAACGTGACTACATCGTGCACGCCATTTGAACGTCATCTAAAACAGTTCATCCAGTCACATCCGTTGTACAATCATGTGATGGAACCCACCAGGTTTGGAACCAACAAATTTCGTCAACCTTGGATCTAGTACTGACAAATGAAGAATTGATGGTCGAATCAATTGCAATCGCAACTCCGTTGGGGCGCAGTGATCACCACTGTATTATTGTTCGAATATGTTTGCTATGCATCAGTAATGACAGTTTCTTCGGATCGCTTTCGCATCATAACCGACTATGTGGGACTAAACACCCTGGCCCATGGAATCCAGTGGATCTCCCCTGATGTAGGCTGCAATCCTGGAGAAAATTTACTAACATCATCACGACATTGGTGGCTGCTGTTACAACCGTAAAGCACCTTTGCCGACCGACTGTTCGAAAATCAGCAATTTGCAGTCGAACTAGGAAATGGATAATGCAAAGGGACTTTCACTGGAGGGGGTTCAAACGTTCCATGCCCCAGCACTTCGGAAGCTTACAGGCTCATTCGGAACCACTGTACAAATTTGGTGCGGGAAGACAAGCACAATTATCACGATATGCTGGCGAGAAAGTTTGTCTCAAACCCCAAGCTATTGTATAAGCATGTAAACGCTTCCCGGAAAGTCAAACACGGCGTTCCGATACTAAAATCAGCAGGACGTGTTTCAGCGACGACCAAGGAGGCTGCAGCAATGCTGAGGCTGCAGTACTCTCAAGCGGTCAATGCGCCCAGTAACACTGGGTTCGTACTTCCCCGTTTGCTGGAACATATTCCTAACCCATTACTAACAGACATTATCT